CAGGGAGTAACCCCTCCATCAGCAGGGACAGAAGTGCCCGCGTGAAGCGCCAGGTTGAAAGTGTACTTACAGCACGCAGAGTGCATACGCCGAAGCAATGGACTCACTGGCCCGCACAAGGAAGCTGCCATCCTTGCCAATTTTGGAGAGCAGGTCTTCGGCTCTGGAGCGAGTGATGTTGCCGTGGTACCAGCACTGATCCATGGCTGCAGCTGGAGGGAACCAGAATGCCAGTACAGGAGCTGCCAGAGCTGCCTCTGTGTCTGTGTGTAACGATCAGGCAGCTCCAGCTCACCAGCTTCCTGTTTCAATAGTACAGAGAGGGAAAGGAAACTCGGCCGCGGAGAACTTCCTCAACTCAAACAGCTCAGAGAGTGAGCATGACACGTTCCTGCAGCCCCTGCTCTCTCTCCGTGCTGCAGCAGAAGCGCCTGGTGAGCCCACATTCCCTGCCTTTCCTTTCATGTCTCTGTATTCTGTATCAAAACCCCACATAGGGGTCCCTCCTGCTCCCCCACTAATTCAGCCCGATGGACATCGGAGGTCCACCTTCCTATTTATGGTCTCCTGCCAGACCCTCTGTGTTTCCATCTTTTTCCTGTCTGTCAGTCCTACCCATAACAGGTCTCCATGGGGAACAAATAAATCCCAGACTGTCTTGAAAACAACTTGTGCATTAGGATCCTTAGCAATGATTGCCTCATTCCTGCATTATCTGGTCCTCACATCTAGCTAGGGGTTCAGCAAGGGACTTGAAAGACCCAAATAGTAATAATAACGATAGCAATAATAAATTATCCCCATATGCCTCCGTGCACAAAAGCAAAGCAGGATTTGTTTGGGGAGTTATTGACCAAAGCTCCCTATCAGCCACCGTCAGATAGACTTAAAGGTCCTTCCAACTCTAAATCACCAAAGGTGGGACAGAGCAAAGTAATTTTTGGCAACGTGCGTCAGAGAAGAGAACTGGGACTTTCACTTCCCTTTTCTTTGCCTGTACATCTGTCCCTTGTCTAGGATCGGTGCTGCATGCTCACTGCTGCATCTCCAAGGCAAAGCAACAAGGCATGCTGCAACAGGCAACAGCGTGGCTGCAGGAGCACTACTTTCATGGCAACTTTGGTTGCCTCTCCTCCAGCTACTCTGCCTTTGAAGGCAGTGCTTCTGCTCACCCCCATTTGAGCCGTAATCCAAAGCAGCAGCCAAATGGAACTGTCTGTCAGGAGAGTCCCCATGCAAAGCACACACAGCCCTGCACAGCTCCCATGGCCACAGATGCTGTGGATCACGCACAGCATACAGGAGTGCTGCCCTCTGTCACAGCAGGCAGAAGAAAGCAAAACCAGTATCTGTGGGCACTGAGCAGGAGATAGAAGCAGTACAGCCCAGCATCCATCCCTGTCTGCCTTCCTGGCACTTTCAGTTTTCCAGACATTGATTCTACAGCATCCAGCTTGATCTCAGCTGCTGGAATTAAACTGAGTGCACTGGCAATTCAGAACTACGCAACCCTGCTAAACGGACAGAACTGCAATATGCAGGGCTTCCTGTCCACGCTGAGCAAGCACTGTCTGCAGACCAAAATTAGCTCAGCAGGACCTGCCCTGCAGCTTCACTCAAACCTACACAGGCTTTACAAACCAGATTCCCACAGTGCTTAAGTCAAGTCTGACACTGAATGCTATGAAGTAGCTCTGAATGGACAGTAGCTGTCAAGCTGCAGTGTGGGTGCAAACCCTATTCTCTCTGCTGAGAAGAGTATGTGTGTATTGCAAAGAGGTTGTGTAGGTCCTCTGATGGTTCTGCCTGGCCACAGTGTGCTGCTAACCTCACCCATGCCGCCTCTTTGGGATGTCTGATGCTCACAGCAGCTTCTTTGGAGCATTGTTGTAGCAGGAAGCAGAATGGCTCTGAATGTCAAACAGCTGCTTGGCCTCATAGTGCTCTCCATGCAATGGATCCATTTGATGGCACACAGTGGGCAGAGCTGATGTACAGAATGAGTACTGCCAGAAGGATGCTACCCTTGCAGAGCTTCTGATCTGCTGTAAGTTAACGTAAGGTAACAGAGAAACACACAAGTCCTGGTCGACCAGCTGATGGATGATCAACTGGGTTCCCATCCATCCCTCACTGACTTTAGCTTTTAGGACACTGCAGCTATTTCTTTCAAACGTGTACATCCCTGCCCAACCACACTCAACTCGTTTATTGAAAACATAAACAAGGGGATGGGATCCAAACGCACACGATGCTTATGGCCATAAGGTGTGCAGGTTGTGTATTTCTAAAGAAAGCACAGGACAGCTGCTCAAAAAGTGCATCCTAATCCTCTAACACAAAGAGCTCTGTGATCCCTAGTGGCTCAAGTGCAGCACTGCCTGAAGAGGAAATGGCATCTAACTTCCATCTCACAGTGCTTAAACGTGAACAGTGCAGTGCTGGAGAATAACTGATCCTCGTGTGGTCAGAGTACATAGCTGTGCACATCCTGAACTACCAGCAGCCTTACTGCCAAAGGACAGCAGTCTGTCCCACACGGAGTCAAGAGACTGTTCAGCAAGTACTTCTTTCTCCTCACATCTGTGTTGGAGAAGGCTGGTGAGCAGATCTGAGGATGAAGAGGGTAGAGAAGGAGAGTGGAACTGTTTGCAGTGCAGTGAGTGCAGCGATCACATCCAGAGAATACACATGGTGATGCTACAGGTGTAGTCTGCAAGTTTACACAAGGAATAGGGTGCACTTCAAATAGCTGTACTGTCATCCCACAGCTGGGATAAAGCGCGTTATAAGAGCTTCCCTTGTAAAATAAAAGAATAAAGGATACAGCTGTCAGGCAAATCTAACCCAGACTCAACAGTAGCTATACGATAACTGCAGCAGCAGTATTTCACTCTAAGTCACGTCAGAGAATGAGACCACAGCCAAAGCACTGAGACACATTATGATGTTGGCTAATCAAAAATTACAGTGCTCACAGTCTACGGATGGAGCAAACATTATTTTTTCCCATGTTGGCACGTTATTCCGAGCTTTCTCTCAGACACTGCAATCAATACTTTATCTGACCAGTGTTTGCCACAGATGGCTGGGCAGTATTCTATCAGCTGGCTGCAAACTCCCCAGCCTGCCCATAGCAGGACTCAAGTTTTACAGTGGTCACCCCAAAATCCTACCCACATCCAGGCTGCGTAGTTCTTCAATAATGGCACTGTTGTGCTTGACCACGTGAAAAATGCCTGGGAAAGGTATTTTCATGTCATGAAACAAAAGGATTTCTTAGTATGCCTGACGTGGGAAGCTGAATTAATAGGAGAGCTGTTAGCTTTGCTGAAGTCTAACTACAGCATTCCTTCACTAGGCACCAACAGGCTCCTGGCCACTAAAGACTCTGGCCTACATCTAAAAACCAGATGAATAATAGCCACTAAGTATTGGTTCATTGAACCACTGCGTGCCTTGCTGCTTCTGCAACCCAGCATATTACTGACCTGCTGCTTGGGAAGGGCTCAAGAAATTGCAGGTATTTATGGGAAGGCCGTGAGATCTCTTCACTTCTTTGATACTTGCAGCTTCCAGGTACCCTGAAACAAACCTAGATGAATGAGAAGAACCAGGAGACCTTCTTTTTCTGCCTCTGAAAGCTATAAGTAATGAACAGCAAAGGGGGATGCTGAGAAAGCAGAGGCTCACATACCTCAGCAGTGACAGTGCACAGGACTCTGCAGGACCTGCTAGAGCTCCTCAGCGCAGATGAGAACACTGTGAAAAGGAGGTATTTTTCTGCAACAGTAGAGCAAACAAATGTTTTCCTTGGGGCTGTTCCACACGTGCACACACACAAAACACAGCAATCAGCAAACAAGCTCAGGCTGGTTTGGAAATAATTTTTCCAGAGGCATGAGCAAAGCTGCCCCGGCTCCATGCACTGCCCTTCAGGCCTATTCACTTCTGGTCACTTGTCTGCTCACAACATATTGCCTCCTTCCAAACCTTAATGTAGCCTCAGAATAGTCTCACTCTTAAAAATTTGGGCTGTTCCCTTCCAAAAACTGCTGAAGATCTGTCTACTCTTGAAAGCCTTCCAGCTCAAGCACTCCCATGCTCCTCTGACATTTACATCCTTGCCATTTTCTGGAAGCTGTTTGTTTCACACACTGTCCCATCGCTGGTAATACTTTATAATAACAGCTGTGCTTGCAAGACATTGGGTTGTCAGAGATAAGAGCAGCTACCACATGGAACATAGCTTAGCACTTCCATTAGAAAGACCAGCAACTATTTCCCCTCCAGACTATAAATTGGGAGCTCCCTCTGCAGACCTGTCCTGATCCTGCAGGTCTGTTAGTGCCATTTCTGCCATCTGCCCGTGGGGCTGGGGGTGCTGCACAGGCCCCACTCTGTGCAAAGGGAACCACTGAAACACACAAGGCTGTGGTTTCGGTACACGTGAGAAACTGTAGTTACCAACTGCAGCGCAAGCAAAAGGGCAAATAAGCAAGAATGTACAGCATGGGAAGTAAGGAGAAGGCAAAGTTATGAAGAAGTCCCTTAGGGGCCTGAGAACTCAGCAAGCAACCCCCAAATCCAGTACAGAAGCGGGCTGGGAACATTTCAAGATGATGGCATTCCACAGCCTCCCTGAAAGCAGAAGGCAGCCAGCCCTGCCAATAGAAGAGCTGTCAGCAAGCACTACAACTGCAAGGAGGAGTGCACCCAACAAGAGTCAGAGCAGTTTTCAGAAGATAACAGCATACGTAAGGCAGCATGCCCAGTGTCCTCTGCAGCACTTTTGCCACAACTTGCAAATACAGCTCAGCATAAAATCGCTGCTCTCCAATCCCATGCAGTCCCTGAGCTATCAGCACGTGCATCTCTATTCAAGCCTCCTGGAAGCCTGAAGGTGTGACCCACCCCCCGTATGAAGGTCATGCTTGCCTTCAGCATGTGATTTTTAAGATGGCAGCCAAAGGGAAGAATGAGAAGAGGAAGAGGCAATAGAAAACAAGACCAAACGTGTTTAGGTTTCGCACGTTTAATAGACTTTGTGATGTACACATGCTACAAGACAATGCCTAGCTGGCAGTGTGGAAAGAATACATAAATTCTTTTGCTGAAAGATGAGAGCTGATAGTGAAAAGAGCATCAGCAAAGGTGGTTTTCAGAAAAATCCCAGTGAAAAAGCTCGAGACTCAGAACTCAGAAGGGAAGGCTTGCTTCAAAGTGAACATTACAAAGATTATCTCTTCACATTGCTTATGGATCCCATATTCAAAGAGGCAAGAGAACAAGGGTGAGCCATCTGGCCCAATCCCCATGTACTGCAGATCTGAGTAAGCACACAAGCCCTTGAAGAGGATGCTTGGCTTTGTCCAGCGTGTTGGATTTAAAGGGCTTTTGTTGAGGTAAATTCCTAAATCTCTTCGGCCCTTTGGGTCTGCAGGATGAGTGTACAGCAACCAGCTATCTTGGCACCAGACATCACGGGGAGGAGGAAAGGCAACAATACTTCCATGACATCCAGAGGGAGGCTCTACAAGCTTTTCAACCCGCTGGCCTTCCTCAAAATCCACCCCATCGTTGTAGCTGGCAGCCTGGATTCTCGCTCCCCTGGTGGTCCTAGCATTGCAGTAGAGCACATTCATGCCACAGCGGTGTACCTCAGCTACCTGGCACTCCCCTGCACTCTCTTTTCCCACAAAGTTCCCCATCTCCCACGTCATCCCGTGGTCAGAGCTGACGAAGCAGAAGGCATAAGAGACAGGGTGATGCTGAGGGTCAAGGATACGAAAGGCATAGGCAGGAATCACAAGGCTCCGGGCCTCGTTGGACAGCTGTAATCCATGACCTGGTCCCACTGCAAAAGTGGCCCAGTTCTTGTACTCTGTGCTGATGGTACTCTCAGTGATATCCTGGACGGGGCTCCACGTGTGTCCTTGGTCCACGCTAGTGACATAGCAGAGACGTACCAGGTTGATCTTTGTCCTGAGCTGGTGGTGCTCAGAGATCTTTCCTGGGACAGCTATGAAGAACAGGATCAGATTCCCCGAGACCTCATCATAAACAGGACAGGGATTCATGGATCGGTGACCTCCCAGCTGTGCACTGACAATGGTCTCCACGCCGCTCCACTGCCAAGGCAGAGTGAAGAGAGACAAGAGTGAAACAAACACATCCAGGTTACAGAGTAAGGATGCTCAGATAAAGTTACAAAAGAGCTTGAGGAGAACTGAGGAGAAGCAAGTCTGGAGATAGAGTATGAAACAGGCATCACCAGATGTAAGTTAAAAGAAATTAAGATTACTTGGATGATGCAGGACTCGCACACTTTACCAAACCAGGTGAGCTATATCCTTTTTAAATTACTACTCATTGAGGAGCTGATAACTGCATCTCAATGCAGCAGGGGTCTGATGACACTACAAAGAGTAGTTGAATTGTAAGAAATTCTCATCAATATAGACATGACGCAGACATGCCAGGGTTAAAACATGCTTGTAGACACTTTGCTCTGTTAGTGCTTCTCAGGAAGTCAGCTAGATAACGAAGCCTTCTTCAAGCATACAGCACACTGATAAATCCATTTACATTCAGACTCCTACTCCCCTCATTTTGAGTGTTACCTAAATGATACAACACTGCAGGTGCAGTTAGAGGCTGCTTCTGCTAGGCAGACTCCAGCTCTTAAGAGGTCCCTGTTAAAGGATTACTATTCTCTAAGAAAGGATTCCGTTAGGAAAAAAAAAAAAAAGATACTCTTTTCCCCCAAAAAGAAGACTTTAATGCATTTGCAAATGCAAGAAATGATTATAAATAGAGTATCCACCACCCCCAGTCACCCAGCAAGATAACTGTTAACAATAATAACAACTGGTAGATTAATAAGGTAGCCCATTCGCTGGCACAGACAAACCAGATGACACTCTTTTGCGTGGGGAGACTAGCTGTTCTCAATTGTTTTTTAAACCAGAAATTCGTTCTAGGAAGATGAATTTAAAAAATAAATAAAAAAAAAATAGCCAGGATTGCTAATTCACTGCTCCCTATCTCTGTCACACTCCTCATTTCTGCTTCCTTTCCACATCTTTGCAACTGCAGCAGGACCTGTGCCCCACGTCTCTCTCTGCTTCTGCACAGATGAGTCAAAGCCATTCCCAGAAAAGTCTACTACAGCTGCCCCACTTAATTTCCCCAACTATTGGACAATCACGGGGTTGAATCCCAGCAGCTATAAAGGTAAATGCATTACTCATAGGCTATAATTGAGCAGGAGATCTGTTTAACTACAGTAGAGAGGGCAGATACATTCAAGCCAATGGGGAGCAGGGGAGCAGTATAGTTGGACAGTCTCCTCTATTTCCTTACCAACTGGTACCTGAACATGGTGCGTGCCTGGGTTGTACGTGCCTCTGCGCATCACTATGAACTTGGCATGCTCATCCACCACATCCTCTCGTTCCTCAGCAAATGCCAGGATGATGCTGAAGCGCGGCAGGTAGAGCAGGGCTGGAATTCGATAGCTCCACGTGCCATTCCGGAACAGCACCTCTTGCTTGAGGACAGGAAACGAAGCCATCGTGCTAAGGGAATGAGACAGAAACACATTGCATTTTAACCCATGCTCAGCCCAGCAAAGTACAACAGGAACAGATCCCACCACTTCTTGCCCTCCTTGCTCTTCCTGCTCAGTGTGTTCTGACATGCACTGAAATGTCATTCGTGCTGCTTTCAGTTTCGTGCTCTTCTGAAGAGGAGCCACATGTTGCACTGCAGCCAGCAACGCAGACCAGACTTTGTCCAGAAACAGCCTGGTTAATCTTACTGGAGTAAAGTAAGCTCTCTAAACACAGTAAATGAAAAAGCCGCCTGTGGTTTGTTTCTTCTTAATGAAATTCACAAACTGAGATCTTTGTGGGTTTGCTTTGTAATTCAAGAGACTGACGACAATCAGACATTTTAGCATTTTCCCCTCTAAAAAGCATGATTGCCTTTGTTGGTGGTGTTTCCAAAACCCAGAACAGACCTAATGCTTTGCCAAACATGAACTTTGAGCCCCACAAAAACAAGTCACTGAAGCAATCTCTGGCCCTAGCTATGCCTCTATTTAAGGACAGTAAGCACAGAGCATGGAAAAAGAAGGAAAACATCCTCTCCCAAAAGAATCACAAACAATCTGAAAGATGTCAGCCAGCTGCATCTAAGCTGAGTGCACCAGGCAAAGCCCAAGGCAGAACAAGAGGATTTATGGACGGGGTACTGCAGGTTTCTAATTGGGACGGGCCACCCTATGCCTGAAGCACACCTGGGGACTTGTGGGATCACAGACAGATTCATAAGGGCACTGCACAACTTGGGAGCAAAGAGATCAGAGTATGGAGCTACTAATGGGTAAGGCATCAGGAGACTTTTGGGTCCAGTGAGACTCTTGTCATCCATATAGCAAGTAAGAAACATTAGGGAGCAAGACAATCTCAGAATGGCTTAGCTTGGAAGGGACCTCATGTCCAGAACCCATCCAGCCTGGCCCTGAGCACCTCCAGGGATGGGCACCCATGTTTCTCTGGGCAGCAGTGCCACGGCTTCACTGCTCTCTTCCTCTCCTTGGATCCACTCAGCCTTCTGTCCTGTTGCACCAAACCTCTCTTGGGAACTGATTTATCCTGGCAAAAAAACCCACTAGCTGAAAGCAATTATGTTTAAGCAGAGGGGAGGTGAAAAGGAAAACAAAAAGAAGTCTCTCATACGATGGACCAGAAACTGAAGGCATGAAAATCCTGTGCTCAGCATAGATGTCAGAGAGATAGGGAATAAAATGAAAACAAAATTTAAAAAGAAAAAAAGAAAAAAAAAAGGAAAAGAAAATCAGGCCTTAGATCTCTGACGCATTGAGTGGGTAGGATGGCAGGGATAAGATGACAATACACTATGAGTAAGAAATTGAAATGCCTCCTACCTCAGCTGAGACAAGACTTGCAATGCTGCCTTGAGCACTGAAAGATTCTCTGAGATTTAGATAAATAGGAAAATGCTGTAGTGGTTGTTGGGTGTGCATGACATCCTCACGTTTCTGAAGGCTGTCTTGATAACTCAGGATCTGCACTGTTTCAGCTAAAGCCAGCTAAACAGACTGGAGCCAGCCACAGCCCCATCACTGCTCAGATGCAAAGCCACACGGGAGAGAACTATCTCAATGGAATACTACTCCCTCCTCATTGCCACTTACAGTACATCAGAGCAGCTACTATACAGAAACATTACCAGGGATCTGATCTCAGCTCTCCGTACAACACAGAAGAAAGAAAAAGGAAGACCTTCCTAGGATAAATAACGGTGTTGCTCACTGCATAGCAGCACAGGTCTGGCTGCTCACACAGATTGCAGCCATGGCTGTGTTCTCGTGGTTCCTGAAACAGAAGTTCATCAGAGCACCTCCAGGCTATTTAAAGGGAGATTATTTCAAGAGATATTAGTCAGCCTATCTAGTGCAGCACAGGTTCCATAACAGCCCTGCTCATGGTGCTATTCTGATATGGTAATCTTTTTGCAGGGCAGGGCAAGGGGGGGAGGGGGAGGGAAAGAGGGATGAAAAATAAACAGTGGCAGAGATGTAGGCTACACCCATATGTTCTTGATGCAGAGCTGAGAGACCAGTGCCACGAAGGCTGTGCTGCAGCACAGGGGCAGAGAAGCCTAAGGGAGCCAAGTCCCTCCTGCACCGTCCTGCCATCTGCAGGCAGCTCTGCACCGCGCCCTTCGCTGAGAGATGCTCGGTGGGGGTGTTGCAATATCCATCTTTTCCTCTGACTGCCAAACAGGGAGCGAAGGAAGGTGGGATGTTAAAAGGCTGTGAATGGCTGCCATAGAAACAAGCCCAGGGTTCCTGGACACAGCACTTGCAACTGCAGTTGAGGAAAATACTAGAATTACATGACTTTTCCATCTATTCAGAGATTAAACAGGTGTGTGCATCTACACACATTTGTGTACACAGTATGTAGGGAGCATATTAAGTCTGTATGCATATACACACATACAACACATCCATCTGTAGAGAAACTTCTTCCATCTTTTTCGTTGAATACACTTCAAATTCAGTATTAAGTTTCTTCTATCTTCTTCAATGGCGGATCGTCAAGCAGAAATAGAGCCACAACGGCCTGAGTTCACAATAGTCTGAGAATTAAAGAGATGCAGAATCTTAAAACAGCTTAGAGCTACTGACATACATAGGAAAAGAACAAAAACTTGTGCTGTTTTAGCTACCTTCCAGCCAGTTCAAAAATAATTGATCTTTCTTTTGACCTCTACCCATTCTCAAAGGTAAAAGCACCAGCTACACTTCTCTGAAATAAGAGAGAAGATGTGCAAATCAACAGAACATGATCAGGACAGTCACGAGGTGTGGCCAGAAGCTCAGCCTCCAGCACTGCAGCAGTTCACATCAGACAGGCCAGTCTATTAAATTGCCAGGGGATGCACCCTTGAGAAGTGCTCTGTTCAGGGCACTGACATCGACCTGCAGTTCCTCTCCAAAGCATCAGGGAAGCTGCTGCCCTGAGTGCCCCATCTCCAGGTAGAGGTGGGCAGACAGAGGAAGAAGTGCATAGTGAGAAAAAAGAGGAGTTAAGCTGGAGGAAACCATTACTCAAAACTTGCAAGTTATACAGCTGCAATGATTTCCAAAGAGGAGACTTTTACCAGTGCCAGAAGAGTCAAAATAAATAGCAGTGGGCAACAAATCTGTGATGGATGTGAGGTCCAGAATGAGCCTGAGCAGCAGAAAGGAACAGGTGCTGGTAGTCCCCAGTATTTGTCCTTCCACTCAGTCCTCCAAGGCAGCTCATGTGGTTCCTTGGTGGTGGTTTGTTTTGTTTTGTTTTAAATATAGGGGAGAATTGGCCGTCATGTGTTTATTTTCTTTAACCCTCTCCAAGAAAAGCAACTAAGAAGGATAACATTTCCACTGGCTTCAGCTTCTGTTAAAAACCTGCCCTTAACACCTTCAGGTCCAAGAAGAAAGGGCAGTATGTTTGCTCCTGCAGGAATCCAGACAGGTCCCAAACAAACCAACAAACACACAAACCTATTGGGAGAGACCACGGAAAGGTGTGAGGAACACAAACAAAATAACCTGAAAGAGTGAAGCTCAAAACTCAACTAAAATTCTGGCTTTTCAACACAGGCACAAGAAGCCAAGTCCTGCCCTTCTCCATTCAGTATCAGACCTGGGCTTTCAGCGTTTTCCATATAGGAACATAGAAGTCAGCCAAGCACTATCCTAAAATACTTTTTTTTAATTTAAACAAAGAAGAAAACACTTCAATTGGAATACTGTACAGAAGGGGATCAGGAGAAGCCATGTTCAGGGCTAAGAAGTAGTAGACCCAGCCTGCTTCCAAAATACTACACAGTGCATTTTGCTGTATAAGTCTTCCCTCCTAATTAAATGGAACAACTGTACTGATTTCCACTGAAACTCAGGAGCAGAGAGCTCTAAGCAGGAGGCTGGAAGTAGACCAGGTCCTACACTACATCTAGGACATGGGTAATCTTTACAAGGCAGGCAGCACAACATGTAAGCCTCAATGTCAAGTCAAAAGGAAACGTTATCAGCGAGACCAGTCAAACAACAGATCTTAAACAAAAGGCTCTTTCCAACTTCAGAATTCAAGACTTAAAGGCACTTTAAAGGAGTTACTTTAATCCAGCTGTCAACTGGATCAAACTTTTTAACTATGCTAGAAACAGAAAGTTTTTCTTGCAGATGAGCTTCATACTTAGAAGGGGATTTTGAGCATCCTCGGTAGATGCTTTCCTAAACAATCCATCAAAATGTAGCTCAGCCTGGCAACAGCTCCTGTGCTTTATAACACAGGTTTTCTCAGCAGTACAGAGGAATTACATGAAGCAGCTTTGTTTTTTCTTAGCATATGTTTGTTTGGTAGAGGACTACACACACTCCTACCTGAACCTCCAGAATGTTGTATTTACCCTTTCAGCTCCCAGCAACATCCGCAGAGAATAAAGAGGGGGAAAACAAAAGGAAAAAGAAAAGGAAATACCTCTCTTCACTTTGTGCCTCCTGGAAGTCACGTCAAAGTAAAGGGAAAAAAAAAGAAAAAAAAAAAAAGAAAAACACTCTTATTGAATACAAGAAAAGGGAGGATCACCACACTCTCACCAACTTGTCTCCAACCTGCAAGATTATTTATGTTGGCAGCGATGTCAGCTGTCTCGGATCCCCCGGGAAGAGCCAGCAGCCAGCATGTATACACAAGCTGACATTTAAATAGCAAACCTGCTTTGCATACAAGGGGAGGTTCCATGTGAGCAGGACAAATGTTAGGGAAAGATTTTTAAGCGTTCATAGTAATTAACATGTTTCTACCTGCATGGATTGACAGGACTGTGTTGTTGCTGATAGTTACACCATTCAGCATGCTGTCATATCCTGATCTTCTCATCCCCTTATGCTGAGGAGGGTAAAATTCCTTCAATCCCTGCATGCAGACTTGCAGTGTGTCCTCTCACAGAGCTCCTGAGCACCACGAAAGTTTGCTGAAAGAAGTCAGAAAATGGATTTAACAGCAGGTGAAATTGCTGTGTCAACCTGATGCATTCCTCCAGTGGCTCTACCCACCTCCCATCCATCAGTACACTGTTTTGAGACGAAATGGGTCAACACAGGAAAATCTCCAGGCTGTAGGACAGCAACAACACGCTGGTGTATGCAGATGCTCTCCCCAGCAGCTTATATGGAGGTGTTACCAGTGCCAGCCTTCACCCCAGCAGCTGCAGTCAGTGAAGCAATGAGCAGAGTTGAGTAGGAGGGAGTATGAACCTGAGGTCCCAGCATGTGGTAGGAGGCTGAGGGAGAAGAGGAAGATTGCTTCTCCCAGGTGTGGCCTGCCTAGCTTAAAGGCAGCACCTGCAGCTTCTACTGCTGCCAAGCAGATGCTTTCATGATCTACCTTGCGCTGCTGTTGTTAGAGATGGCCTTGCCTTTCCTTTTCCTTGCTGCTTCTCTTGCTTTATCCTCTTCTCTACTGTTTCCATTGCTGCCATTAATGCTTCTTGTCTCTCAATTTACTGGGGGGAGAAAAACAGTAATAACAATAATCCTGTAAACAGATCTTGCTAGAAAAGGACAAAGCAAGGCCTACTCGCTTGATAGCAGTTGTGATTTTGATCTGTGCAAGCCAAACACAGAGTTGCAAGGGTGTGGATTTACAACCAACCAACTTAATTAAATTCTTTTGTGTTACCATCTTCCCTTTCTCTTGAGCAACCCTGTCTCCTTTCTTGTGCCAGCGCTGATGCTCATCTTGCTTTGGCAAGCCATCAGAGGATGTCAGTCTGGCAGAAAACTCAGCTAGGAAAAAAAATGAAGAAAAAATGTGAAGAGTTTTCTGCTGGGTCACTGTCCTGGACTGCGTCAGCAGGAGTCAGACAAGCAGAAGGATCTGCAGCAGGGAAGGGAGCATGAAGCTGTTGACACAAGGAGCAGACTCACCTCTCCAACTGGCAGCCAGCCATTAGAGCAAATTAGCTACGTCATAAAACCACACCCCATTTTTATGAACCTCACCTTAGCTGGGCAAGCAAAATATTGCCTTAACTGAGAGACGCAAAAGGAGCCTGAGGGCATTTTTATTTTGTTGTATCTGGAATCAAACAATAGTCAGCGCAAGGGAAAACTCCTCAAGAGACAAAGGCATCGATATCCATGAGATAATAACTTCTAACAGCGAGTCCTGGAGAAAGTCCAGACTGAAGCTAAACAGACACAATTAGGAAAGAAGGAAAGACACTGGGAAGGCTGCTAAGACAGTGCCAGAAAGCAAGACAAGAGCAATTGCTTTGTGGATTTCACCTTTTTTTCCTGCTCCCTGGCTAACGGCTGCGTTGCTCAAGTGTTGCTCTGAGTCACACGCTGCTTCTGCAGTCAGACAGCCCTAAAAGCGTGTTTGTTTCATACACACCACCTTGCTTGGCTCTAGTTTAAAACTGGTTGTCCATTTCTCCTTAGAGAGGCCCATCCCAAACGTGGCTCACAGCACATGCTATGGGGGCAATGCTCCATGCTCCATAGCAGCAGCACTTGGGTTGTAGGGTGGCTGTGCTTCTGGCCACCCTTCCTGCCCAAGCATCTACACAGAGTGGGTTTCTCAGTGTAGATGTGCTGGGCTCAATCCCCCCTTCTTCCTTCTGCTGTAAGTCAGAATCAGTGGCAGAATGAAGTTTAAGATAAGTCTGGGGAGAATCAAGCTTGTCATTTCTGTTATTCCACACTTACTTCATCGCCTTTATATCTGATTGTTGTAATGAAAACGTTTTTAAAAAGGTTAAAAAATGCAAATGGGGTGTGTGGGTGCATTAATAAGAGGATATAAAAATAATGCAGAAGATAATGTAATGAAAGAATACTGAACAATGGAGCATTTGCATTTGGAGGACCACGTTCAATTTTGGGTGCCACGTCTTAGGAAAGATATAGCAATAGCTGCAAATGAAGGCTAAGAATTCAGAAGCTAATGCTGGCGAGTGTATGTGAAAACAAGTAGGGAGACAAGAGATGCTGCAATTAACAAGAGTGACACACGGTCCATTAAAACCTGCCGGCGTATATTTCCTTTGCAAAATGTTTAAACCTGAATCCATTGGTTTGTTAAACTGTAAGGAAGGCAGGCAGGCTCGGGTAGTTCTGTGTGATGGCTTAGCTACAGAGCGTGGCAGCTGTCATCAGCCAGCTAACATTAAAATCGAGAGCATTAAAATTGAGAGCCCTGCGTGGAGTTAGGCTGTAGGAGAGAGAATTACACTGTTTTGCAAATTTTCAGTTACAACACGATGGGCTGCCCTCCAGGTGTTAGGCAATATGGCATCATTTGTGCAGAACACGAGTCCTGTAGACCTGGGGGCTGACTGCTCCGTTAGCAAAAACAAAACTGAGAAAAAGCTGAACTAATAATACTGAATCTAACTCATGCAAGCGTTCACTTTCCCAGTAAATCACAGACTAACTGTTCGTATTTCCCCTCCTTGTGGAAAGACTTGAGCAAAATCACAAATATTTACTTCCTCTACCCAAGGAGCATCACCACGACCCTCCCATAGGCCTGTCTGCTTTCTGACCCTCCACAGTGAGCTTTGTGTTCATCGTGCCAATGTCCAATGCCTATAATACGTGCTAGACCTTTCTGCCATTCACTCTTCTCTCTGGGACCAGAAAAAAAGGAATATGTTTTGTTTTTGTAACAAAACGGAGGGCAACGTTTAGAAAGCAAACAGAGACACGGTGAGATTTACAAAGAAAAAGAGGATTGTGGAAGCAGGATTTATCTAGTTCTCAAAATAGCAAAGCGATGAGGAGTTGCTCCGGGACAACTTGGGCAATTTAACAACAGAAAAGCACAATAAAACCGGAGTCTCTTGCTTTATGTCCCCTCCCAGCTCTGGGGACACTGACAAACAAGTTTGAAGCATGAGGTCCACCTGGCAATGACTCTTGCGACACCACGGTCCCGCTAGAGCAGGAGTGCACAGTCTGACGGTGACTTTGAGTAATCATTACAAGAGTAATTGCTGACAGCCCTGTACGCCAAGGCCAGGCTCTCAGCTGATATGAAGGTACAGTGGCATTGGTGGCCAAGAAGCTATGACAACCAACCGCAGATTAACCAGAGCGTTACTGCACGAATATCTGGGTGTCCACAGGATAGATAGGGCGTGGGCAAAACGCAGTTGCTATTACAAGAAACGGGGTAACGTTACAATCAGTTAAAACAACAAGGCAGTTGGCAAGTCTGGTGAACGTTAAAAAAGAAAAAAAAATCATAGGAAAGACTGGCATTAGCTTCAGCAGGAGATACGATGCTTTATGCCATTCCATCTGCAGGCTTGCAAATAGCAGGTGAGTTGAAGGAGTTCCAGGATGAAGAAAAAGCTGTCTCCTAAGTATAGCACTGCATAGGTGTCTGCAGGAAGTGGGTTTTTTTGGTCTTCCTTTGAAGCATTGGGCTCTAAGCTGTTTGCAGAAGAGACGTTCACTTAAGCAAAGCCCACTTGCAAGCACAGCAAATGTAAGCACAACCTGAATTGGAAATCAAAGTATTTCGGGGGAGAAAATTATAATGCATTCGGATGAACGGTTAGAAAAGGCCTTGTGATAAAACCAGGCTGGGTCTGCTACGTTCCAGGTATGGGAACACATATGAAATGTAAAAACTAAAAATAGTCACAGGCATGTAGGGTTTGTCATCTCAAATGGCTGGAAATAATGTAAAGCAAGAGCAGTAGCTCAGCCAGTGGGGCTGAAAAGTGTGAGCAAATGCCTTTTGCTGTTTCCACGTATTTGAGTTTGCAGATTTGAAGAGAAGTTTCACCTAGTTTTACATGGGAAGTTTTACAAAGCCCTGTCATTAAATCTTTGGCAGAAGCAGTGCAAAGGACCTTCAGAACGTGTTTGTACTGACTTACCTGGCTAAAGGGAAAGCTGTTCCTTTAAATTGTTTGCTGTGGCTCTGGAAACTGAGCAAACAAAGTCAAAGGGAAACTTCCCTTTCAAGTGAAACTGTCAGAAGGTGCAAGGACTGAAGGACAGAGATCTTCAATAGGACACACCTGCATCGGGATTCAGAGCTGAACTGCAAATTTCTAACAACCTGGGGGAGTTTAGTCCTGATTTGTTGGACACACCTAATCCTGATGGCAAATGGGAGCCTGGTTCAGCCCCAGACAGTCAGGTGAGTAAAATCCTATTCTGGGGGGGGATGCTGGAAGAGGAATGGTCTGAAGAAAAAGCCTCAGAAAGGCACAAGTGCAGTGCCTGAGAAAGAAGCGGCTTTGCTCTGCCAGCAAAGTCACCCTGAAGGGACCCCGTGCAACCTGGATGGAGTGCAGCTGAAATGCGGCTGGTGGAATGGAGGCACTGCTGGCACAGCCCGACAGGCTGCACATCCAGCAGGGAGGGAACCCAGGCAGAAAGGAGGCTCAGCCTGCACTACATGGGCATTAAGGTGACCAACTAAAGAGCAAACATCCCCTGAGCAATCAATCAAACCGTGTGTCTTTTTCCAGGGGCAGGACAAGCTGTGATTTTTCCTGTTAAATGTTTGCGTGTGACAAACACAGAGAAAGAAAGAAAATAAAGGCAGGAAATATGAAAAACAGTCTGTTTTCCTTCTAAGGGCAGGCTGATCTTTCCCTTTAGCTGAGCTGTCCTTTCACTCTCGGGAGACCAATTGCTGTGTATCCACGATGGCTGTGAATGCCATCCCAGCAATGATAGATATTTTTAAACGCACCAAGTAAACAAGAAATCAAATCTCATAAGAAAAAGCTAGCTCTGGAGGTATTAACCTATTGACAAATTCAGCGTTAAAGCAGATCTGCCAGCTCCAGACCTAATCAAAAGTAGGAAATGGCACTGAAAAAAATACTTTTTTTTTTTTTTTTTTAAATGTTTTCCTGAACATATAAAAAGGTCTAACTGGATTACATTCATCTCAGGAGATGGATGGAAATTTTGTTCAGGGCTGATCTTACCCAGGCTCAGATAAGGACTGATAAATCCAATCCACTTTAAGACCAGCTGTAAATATAAGAGTATGTGTGAAACACCACGGTAATTGACAGAAAAGAAATGCCTGGAGACAAAGAATGCATTGTCCCACACTGCCTAATTTTGGGAGAACATTTGCAAGACAATGTAAAATGCTTTAACTATATAATTACCACAATCTGTCCCTATGTGTGTTGGCAACGCCTGGGGTTTTTACTACAAGTCTACTTTTGGCAGGAGCTTGTTCTGTGCATTTGTCAGCAATAATATCACCATCTTTACCACAGCAGTGCCTGGAGGCAGTGTTTCATATTCCCAAGTAACAGCCCATGGAAGCACCCCCATGTTATACTTGGGTATAAAATAAGAAAAACTGACAAGATTCGGTGAAACCTAAAACAATCTAAAAAGCTTGGCTCCTTCCTGCCTTCTCTTTCCTAGCCAAAATCAGCTCTGAATCAGATAACCATGAAAAAACAGATCTGGCTTAATCTACAAAACCTGGACCTTGCTGTCCAAAAGGGGGCACATCCTGAAACAGTGACCTTTCAAAGGAAACTTTGGGAGAGCAACAGGGAATGACAGCTCCAGACAAAATACCTGCTCTTGGGTTAGGAATGTAGGAAAATACAAATAGAACAAAAAAAAAATAGATAATATCCAAAGAGGTTTTACTTTCTTCTTAATTAAACTATTATCCAGAGCTCTTTTGAACCAAGATTCTCTCTATGCCATACTCTTGCTTGAGCTCTTTGCTGAGTTCCTGCTAAAATAGCTCCCAAGGA